AATAGCACTCATCATATCATGATTACCTTAAGCTTGTGACCCCGTAGGTTCGGTAACCATAAACATGAACGAAAACCCCTTCGTTCAATGGCCGATGGCGGAACCCTGGACATCCATATTGGTCCCTATGATTACACGAATGATATTCGAGTGAACCTTTGGTTATCATGTGACGTTCCCTTTGCTTCGCGATACTTTACAAAACCTAGTGTGCATCGATATCCTCTTGAGTCATCACCATGCTCACTATACCGTTGCTCCCGTTACCAGTTTTGTTCTTCTTTCTTGTTGACGTGTTCCGGCATACCTGTGACATAGTCACATGTGTCTGGACAGACGATGATGGATGCCTTCACACCAAGAGGGCCCTAAGAATACCTCTACATCGTCAGAGGAGCAAATCCCACTCTTGACTTGTCTAGTCACTTGTTGAACTTTCCGGTGAGCCTGAAAGTTGTCATTATGATCACCTTGTTACAGATGATGTTTGAACAACCCCAAAGCCCACCATTCAGTAGGAAGTGACCGAGACACTCATGGTCTGAGGAACTAAAACACATGCTAACACTCTGTGTTATAATAAATGATTTCAGACGATATGATCACATAGTATAACAAACAAGTATTGGGTCGATTCAATATGATCGTTCTTCTAACGTCATACCCTCAATGTTGTTTTAGGACTATCGTTACACTTAATGATATCCTAGGATCCGGAAAATGTGATTGCCAACAACACTTGAGCCAGTCTTAGAGGCGAGACCGGGAACCTATTGTTTATCGTTTATCATTTCACACGTGCATATGAGTTTTCCACTGAATCGCATATTCCAGGATCATAGCAGTTATAGCATGAAATATAAACTCTTAATTATGAATAATAGAAATATAATAATACAATACTATTACCTCTAGGGCATATTTCCAACACTCCGGAGGATCATGCCAAGAGAGACGTATAGCTATATATCTTTTCGGGCTTTTTGGTAACTTGTTGCAAAGGGGGAGAAATTGTATAGATCATTAGGCTTCGAGAGAGAGAGTATGTGTCTCGCTTTTTCTCTTTGGTTTTATTGAGTTTTTTCTACTATGTTTGTTTGATCCGTGCTACTTGATCGTTTGATGCTTGTGAGACACTATGTTTGGTTGTGTGGTTGATCATACTTTGCTTAATGTTTGCTTAATGCTTATCCCTACAATTATTCGTGTATGATCATTCACTTATGATTTTGGTGATGTGTGCTTGTCATTTCACTCATATCATTTTGTGCGCTCCACCAATATGTATGTAACATGGAAGAGTGACCCATGATCCTAATTGATTGTGCATTTGCATTCAAAAGCAAATTTTTAATAATGCACAAATTTAGGGGGAGATTGAAAGTGCAACTAATCCCCGGGTGGTTGTAGTAATTCATAACAACATTGAACTAATATCCATTCAAGATAAATATTTCAGGATGTTCAGTGATTGGCATGGCATGGACTAGAGATGGACCCCTCAAAATGCTAAGGACAAAGATTGGCAAAAGCTCAAGACTCTTCATTTCTATGTAAGTGATCCAAGATCACATTGAGTCCATAGTAAAGACAATACTATTAAAAGGGGATGAGGTGTTGCTTATGGTCTACTTGCTCAAAGTGCTTAGTGATATTGCTCCAAAACCCGCAGCCACTTTCCCATCCAAATATGTCCAAACCCTAATTTCAAACTTGACCCCACCGATACTTTCTACCCGCACCGAGTTCATTTGACATAACAACAGCCAGAAAACCTAATGATTCGTTCACACCGATACGGATCTCGGTCCCATCGAGATGGCCTTGCCAACGCTTTGTGACTTGTTGCATTCACTTCGATCTCACCGAGTTGGCTTGACAGATTCTCTGTTGCCCGTTGCACTCACTTCGGTCTCACCGAATTGATGCAATCGGCGCCACCAAGATGAAGTTTGCCCTAAGTCCTAGCACATCGGTCCCACCGAGTTGTTCCAGTCGGTCCCATTGAGATTCCTAACGTTCATATTTTTGAACAGATAGGTGCCACCGAGTTTCCTAATCGGTGCCACCGAGATGAGTCAAAATTGTGGATTTTGTGTGGAGGCTATATACACCCCTCCACCCCTTCTTCCTCATTGAGGAGAGCCATCAGAACGTGCCTACACTTCCACAATTCATTTTCTGAGAGAGAACCACCTACTCATGTGTTGAGATCAAGAGATTCCATTCCAACCACTTGAACCTTGATTTCTAGCCTTCTCCAAGTTGCTTTCCACTCAAATCCCTCTTCCACCATAGCCAAATCTATAAGAGAGAGTTGAGTGTGGGGAGACTATCATTTGAAGCACAAGAGCAAAGAGTTCATCATCAACACACCGTCTGTTACCTTTTGGAGAGTGGTTTCTCCTAGATTGGTTAGGTGTTGCTTGGGAGCCTCCGTCGTGATGTGGAGTTGAACCAAGAAGTTTATAAGGGCAAGGAGATCGCCTACTTCGCGAAGATCTACCCGAGTGAGGCAAGTCCTTCGTGGACGATGGCCATTGTTGGATAGACAAGGTTGCTTCTTCGTGGACCCTTCTTGGGTGGAGCCCTCCGTGGACTCGTGAGGCCGTTACCCTTCGTGAGTTGAAGTCTCCATCAATGTGGACGTACGATAGCACCACCCATCGGAACCACGCCAAAAATCTCTGTGTCTCCATTGTGTTTGCCTTCTCCAAACCCTTCCCTTTACCTTCATATGCAATGTTTTACATTCCGCTGCTATACTCTTAGAATTGCATGTGTAGGTTGATTGCTTGACTTGTGATAATTGCTAAAATATGTCCACAACTAAAATTGGGAAAAGGGTAGATTTTTATTTGGTCAAGTGGTCTAATCACTCCCCCTCTAGACATACTTTGGATCCTACGGGGTAGCATACAGAGTGTGTGAGAAAGTGAGGGAGGAAGAAGAAGACCGAGCTAACATGTCCGTGTGGCACTTTTTTTGCCAACTCGGCATGACGGGCGGGTCTGGTTGATTAGTGACATCATCCAAACGCTTAGCATCTACCGTTAGTGTTTTTTGCCACTATCAATATTTTCAGTTCGGTGCAAAAATGTCACGTTTTGTAAAGTGTTGATTTTCCGAAAGTCGTGACACGAAAGTGGTGGTTCTGTGCATTAAACTCCCTTGGCAGGTAGATCACGAGGCACTAAGGAGTTATTGTCAGGATATGACACCCAGGCGTCGCCAGCCAGGCGGAGGCTGGCACATAATCTCTGGGGCTTAGACATTAGCCGGTTGTCGCGCCACTTGGGATGCAGGGGAATGAACAATCCACTGATACACGACATGGTCCACCTTTAGTCCGACCCAAGCCATGTAACCCTAGCTCGACCAGGTATATAATGGGAGCTAGGGGCCTCTCGAGAGGGATCCAAGTTATACTAAGGACATGGCTAGATGACAGTCGCATGAAGAAAAATGGAGGTCAGTCGATTTGGTTTAGGTCATTGGAAAATGGACGGACGGATCACCTTCTTCAACATCCAGCCCCTCTTCTTATTCCTTCTAACAGTCGTGCCGCCACTGGTCTAGCCGCCTGCTTTCGCCGCCCGCGGCGCTCCCGCACATCCTCACTGCACCACCCTCTCC